AAAAAGATAATTATCAAACATTGATTTTCCATTGATCTATTTTTGCATGTCTGTTCCAAAAAACTGTGTCCTATTGATCAATTAAATATTATTAAAGGAAGAAGTCGGAGAATCATTTAGAACATGCGTAAAAGCTTGAATTGAAGCCTTCTGAGCTTAATCTCAAGAAGAAGCCCATCTTGAATTGAAGATTAGCCTAAAAAATTTTGATTGAGGATTAGCCTAAAAAATGAAGCCAATGGGCTTATTTTCAAAATAGCATTGTATTCTTTTCGAGATAGTATAGTACATATACTATACATGAATTTTAAAGAAACAAAATAAATAAAAAGACACTTGGTTTATACAGTAGTTTAGGTGATTTAATGCTGGTTAATACACTCCAGGATATAGGTGGATGTTACACTTACAGTGGCCCTATTTATTGTTTTATACTGTAGTAGTAATTCCCAAAATTTACAGCATTCATTTTGAAAAGAAGCCCCTCTCTTTATTTTGCAAAAGTAGCCTCGAAAAGAAGCCCATCTTGAAAAGAAGCTCATCCAAAGTTCGCAAAAAAAGCCAAAGGCTTCAAATCAAGGTTTTGAGGTATATCTGAAATCAGACATAAGGTAGGGGGCTGGACTTACACCCAAAGGTGGCTAATATACCTGATGTGGTCTTACACTTGAGGAATTACAGGCCGGATCCCAGCCCAAATTTCTGACTGCCAATTAGAATGAGGAATAATAATAATTTGATTTGAACTCGTCACTGAGGACGAGTTAGGTGATCCGCCGCACTTCGACCCACGAGGAAGTGTGCGCGGTGCAGATTGAACAATATTTAAATGCTGAAAATGGCAAAATACGCTAATTTAGTTTGTTAAAAAAGAATTTGGAGCATTTTAAAAGATTTACTCATGCGTACGCGCACGTCATGACGCACGTGCGCATCTTAATGTCACTGTTGTCTCCTGTTATGAGATATATATTTATCAACTTACATTGACAAACGCCTGTTGGTGAAGGAGTAATTATCATTCATAGTATTTATCATATAAAAATTCAGTTTTTTTTAATTCAGATTGCAATATGGTGACGTCACATGTCCAATCAGCTATAATGATATATAAAATCATATCTACTCATGTGCTTTTAGAATATGTAATAAAAATTGGGGGTCACCTTTCATCCTAAGGAGCTATAACTGATTAAAAAAAGGCATGATATTAAGCACATTTTAATTTTGACGCACACGTACGCGCGCGTTATGACGCGTGCACAGGAAATTAAGGTACATAACATTTAACCATGACCTGAAGCTTATGCCCACTAAATATCATTCAGAAATCACGACTGGTCAAGGTGATTATGGGGTAATTAAATGTTTGTGGAAAGAAAGATGAGGGGGTTCATCAAAAACCTTTATTTTGACCATCATGACGTCATCAAAATGTAAAAAGAAGTCACATAATGAAAGAGAATTGCACAATAAATAATTATTATTATAATTGCAGTAGTTGTACCATTAGCTATTTTAATCCCACGGTGCACCAGGAAAACCAACCTGTTTTGTTTTTGTTACATCCATTGAGACTATCTCATGTATAATTAGAAATGACTGTAGTCAAAGGTGCAGAAAAATAATGATTATATTAGAGACTCATCATCTGTTTAAACAAGAATAATTCAGTAGCACTCTCGTTAGGTTGAAGAATTTCTATAAAGAAAAACCTTCTATGCTGAAGAAAAATTAAGGAATTATAAAAGCAAATATAAAAATAAAGAAAAAAAGAAATTTGATGTTAGCAGAAAAATTGTATTAATTTAAATGTTATGTAGAAACTCAAACATAATCCTTTGCTTCAATTGTTATCTAACCAGATGCAAAAGAAGCAGGAACTGAAAATGGCAAAATACGCTAATTTAGTTTGTTAAAAAAGAATTTGGAGCATTTTAAAAGATTTACTCATGCGTACGCGCACGTCATGACGCACATGCGCATCTTAATGTCACTGTTGTCTCCTGTTATGAGATATGTATCAACTTCCATTGACAAATGCCTGTTGGTGAAGGAGTAATTATCATTCATAGTATTTATCATATAAAAATTCAGTTTTTTTTAATTCAGATGGCAATATGGTGACGTCACATGTCCGATCAGCTATTATGATATATAAAATCATATCTACAACTCATGTGCTTTTAGAATATGTAATAAAAATTGGGGGTCACCTTTCATCCTAAGGAGCTATAACTGATTAAAAAAAGGCATGATATTAAGCACATTTTAATTTTGACGCACGCGTATGCGCGCACAGGAAATTAAGGCACATAACATTTAACCATGACCTGAAGTTTATGCCCACTAAATATCACTCAGAAATCACGACTGGTCAAGGTGATTATGGGGTAATTAAATGTTTGTGGAAAGAAAGATGAGGGGGTCATCAAAAACCTTTATTTTGACCATCATGGCGTCATCAAAATGTAAAAAGAAGTCACATAATGAAAGAGAATTGCACAATAAAGAATTATTATTATAATTGCAGTAGTTGTACCATTATCTATTTTAACGTTAATCCCACGGTGCACCAGGAAAACCAACCTGTTTTGTTTTTGTTACATCCATTGAGACTGTCTCATGTATAATTAGAAATGACTGTAGTCAAAGGTGCAGAAAAACAATCATCTTCTGTTTAAACAAGAATAATTCAGTAGCTCTCTCGTTAGGTTGAAGAATTTCTATAAAGAAAAACCTTCTATGATGAAGAAAAATTAAGGAATTATAAAAGAAAATATAAAAATAAAGAAAAAAAGAAATTTAATGTTAGCAGAAAAATTGTATTAATTTAAATGTTATGTAGAAACTCAAACATAATCCTTTGCTTCAATTGTTATCTAACCAGATGCAAAAGAAGCAGGAAATGAATACTGTTATTGAAAGTGGCAGACTTCAAATTTAGTCCAATGATAAAAAAAAAGCAACATAAATTAAACGGGTTTGGAGATTTTATATAGAAGATATAGAAGAAAGTATGACTACTTCCTTTGTAATCTTTACATCATAATTGGGGAATAGAAATATTTTAAATTGACATTTTGATTTAAAAAAAAAAATTATGGTATTAAAGTCCAAGAATAGAACTAAAAATATTGTTTTGCCTGCCTTTGTGAAATATTTTAAGTGAGAGGTGGAAAGAATTTTTTTTTTAAATTTGGATTTTGGTAGGTGGTAAAGATACTTAAGCAATAATCCAACAGAAGTTACACATTATCCGGACACTTTTGATCCGAGGCTGAATAAATTCAACATTGTTATCACTGCGAAATACTTCAGGAATGATATTTTGAAAATAATTACAAACATTCATTAATATTTAATAATAAAAAAACATTTTTTTTTTAAATTCAGTATTTAGTAAGCTTTATTGATCATTCATACATGTACCATACATACACTGATTTGCTTTTGTTCCAAGTCAACATAAAACTATGCATTTTAAAATAGAATCGAATGAGGTTTATTTTTTTTATTTTTATAACAACTTACCTTTTTTAGTCTTAATTGCGTCTCAGCCATGAAGTCTGGCGACTTTCCCGCTTGAGTTGCTTCATATTGATTGTTCAAGTTGTCTCTTAACAACTTATTTAATGCAACAATGGCTGTGGATTCTATGAAGAGACATAGCTGTTACTTCTCGATAATCGTGAATTGATAATATCATCATGAAACAATTGGCAGAATGAATTCACCAGTGATCAAAATTCATTTTTAAAAACTTCGTAATTACAGTAGGGTAATCAATTCTGATTATGCTTGTGATTAACTTATCTTTTTGGCCAGATTAATATTAATAAGAAAGATCATAATTTGTTGAAGTCTGAGGTTTATGATGAAACACTGTACTCAGTATTAAAATAATTTACTCAATTATAACATTATTTTTTAAATAAATATATATATAAATAATAAATTTATAAATAAATAAATATATATATATATATAAAAACAAAATCAACTTTAATGATGCTGTCTTTGATTTAAAAACTAAACAGTAAAATTCAAGTTGGAATTGCTTTTTATTTTTATCCAAGCATGTAATTAATTTGAATTGAAAATTAGAATGAAAAAATGTTTTTCTTACCAATGTGTCTCATTAAAATTTGATAGCTTATTTGATACATTTAAATAAGCAATAATACATTAATAGAATGTTCAAGGAGTTGTTTTTTTTTTTTTTGTTTATCACTGCAGTATTGTGAAAATTATTATTAAATAAGTGGTACTGTAAGTAATATTTATTGCATTCAATGAAATCATTACAAAAAAAAAGACACTAAAAAATGATAGTGAGAAAAATATATACAAAACAAAATTATAAAAACTTCCATAAATCCATCCTATCGTTGAAAAAATTAAACATGAAAAGCTGAAGATAGCCTTTTAAGCCCCAAATGCTTGTTTAAGAAGGGGTCCCTACTCAGTTTAATGGCAGTCCAAGCATTTATTAAGAAACACATGTTAAGAAACGCATACCGGTATAAATATTTTATTGTAAAACAAAAAAAAAAGAAAACAAAAACAAACAAAAAAGGTACTGACATTATTATATCTTGTACAGATATAACGCAGTGATAGTCAATGATGAGTGATATGCAAAAAGCATTTATTTTTATAATTTTTATAATTTTTATATAAAATTTTATTTCATGTTTTTATTGTATTCAACTATTTTATAAAAATGAGTGTGTTATTATCCTAAGATATGCTTTAACAAAAAGAATGTAAGCTTATAAAAATAAAAGTGTAGACATAAAAACGAAAACCCATAAAAATGGAGAAATATCAAATTGTCTTTATTGTATGGAGATGAATAAAGGTGGTGGTGGTTACCCCACAAAAGAGAGAGAAAAAAAAAAAGAAACACATGTGTATTATGGAATGTTATGCTCATCGAATTGCTAATTCTCGAAAATGTACATAAGAATTTTAATCTAGAATTGCTTTACTTTCAGGTTCGACCGTGCAAAACTTCACAGACTTGTCACAGAAAAATGCTATCCCGTAAGTAGACATGTCACAAATTACCCACCTGCCTTGAGAGATACAATTTTCGGTGGTGTAAAAATATTTGTAGTGTACAGTAACACCAATGGATGATTATATTTCTTGTGTTTTATCTCATTTTATAAGCATTCATTAATTAAGCCTATACATGCTCTGCTAACCTTGATAATATATATTTCATGAAGGATATTGAGATTGATTTTATTAGAAAAGTTTTACATTTTTTCGCTAGCATATGGCGTAGGCGAGAACAGACAGATGTATAAAGCATTGCTGCATCTGTTTTATGTTTACACATACAAGTAATAATATTTTATATTCATCCTTGAATAATACGAGTTCATCCGCATGTGTGATAATGAAAGCCGTAATATTTTACATTTCATACATAAATTTAGTGACTTTCTTCACATTGTTAAGGCTTTGCCATTTGTGTACTGTACACAACTCTGAATTCTTGTTACAACTCATGATTGAGTGTGTTCGAACTTTGAGTTGCAGAGCTCCTGTTATTTTTGTTAAATTCAGCACAGGACATTTTGAGATGTAAATGACCAATAAGTCTTGTATTAGCGTACTAATGGACTGATTAATAACATAGATTTATTAGAATCATAGGCTACTTCTCACTGTGTCAACCGTAGAGATTTCAAAAATTCGCTCCTTTAAAAAAAAAAAATGGATGCTGCGACAAAATTCATACAATAATAATGGAATTAAATTTTTTTAAATGCCTAAAAATATTTCTATGTTCTCTCGGAGGGTGTACTGCACAGAATGACAAAAATTAATCACCAGTATGAGATTTCTTGATAAGAATTTAGAATTATGACAGCCATATTATGTATATAATGTAGAAAATTGGTTGATTGTTCCAAACTACTCTTATGTAGATTTTAAAGATTAAGATACAAAATACATGGTAATTTTATTGTCAGAAAAATCAAAAATTAGATTGCAATGGCAATTTTACAAAGTATGGAAAACATAAATAAAAGATTAGTAAGTAAAAATATAAACACAATACAATATCTGTACATGTTATATGTAGAACATACTGATAACAATATAAAGATATTTTTATTGAATATTTTTACAGTTAATGTGGGTCTTATAATAATAAATCTATTACTTTTAAAGATTTCACTAGATTTTACAGAAATACCTGAAGAACATTAAGTTTATTGAGTGAAAAATATAAATATAATAATAATTCTAATATTAACTACTTTTTTTAACAACGAAAAGCTTGTACATATCTATCTCAATATAAAAGGTTAGAAGTACCATTTGTGTTACCATTTTATCTCAGTGAACTGAATATAGAATGTATATTTTGTGAGAACTTGGTGAAGGCTTGTCAAAGCTGGGAATTAAATGGTTATATTTAAGACGTTAGAACAGGAAGAATGATTTTGACGGTGATTTTTTATATGGCCACTGTGTAGGTAGGTTGCCAACGGTTATTGATAACAGTAATTGTCCAATATTTCTTACTGCTTATTTCTAGTTTCCACATAATTCATGATTTATGTTCCAACTGGTGAAATGTTGTGTAGAAACAAGATAACATTTAATTGGAAATTATGCATGATACAATTTTTACAGCTATCCTGAATGAGAATGTTAGAAATAAATCAAAATGGCAAGTAATTTAATGATTGTATATATATATATATATATAAAAAAAGCACAACGTAAATTTTATTGAAGGGAGAAATAGAAAGTACAAGATACAAGCACAACATATATTCTCATGTTTCCTTCTCTGTTTTCTCCACGGTAGAAAAACAATAGACACTGTACTCCACATAATTTAGCAGTTGTTGGGTCTGTGGATCAGCACATGTACTTTATATGTTGATACTTTATTATGATTGATTGATTGATTGATTAATTGATTGATTGCTATTATTATAGATGTGTACCAAACCACTTTTGTGGATCTGTGTAATTGAGATAAATTAACGAATGTATGTACTTCAAACCCTTTTGTGTTTCGGCTATATGAGTAATATAGATTGTCCCTTGAAGATCCAAGGAAGCAGCTTGTATATGACAATTGATATAGAGTAGAAATAAGATTTAAAAAAATTATTTTCGAACTAAAGATCTGTGAATTATGAGAAAAAATAAATAAATAATAAATATAATAATAATAATATTATAAATAAATATAATAATAATAATTATTAATATTTAAAGAAATGCATTATGACTTGAAAGAAGCCCCCCCCCCCTTTTTTTTTGTATTACTGAACATGGACCTATATGCGATAAAATACTATGATGTTGCAAGTGTGGAATAATGCTTACCTTGATGGGCACAAAATTTGGTCAGAGGTCCAAATTTAAATTATGATTTAACACCTAGGGCCGCACCCAAATTTTGATGTTTCCAGTGTGCTTCCAAAAATCTTCAAGCACAACATGTACACCACTTTATTCTCAGTTTTAATGTTACTTCCTTACATACTGTATAATTGGTGTCTGGCCGTAAATTCAAGGTGTTTTCTAGCCAATGTTGCTTGGCGTGCCGCACACATGTTTTTTAAATAATTTTCGCAGGCCACAAAAAAACCGCTGTTGTTCCGCATGCGGCCCTCGGGCTGCACTTTGCCCACCTGTGCCTTAACTTATCAACAGAGGAGATCATCCCACTATCTAGCTGGCCATTAGATTCCTAAGATGCATTTAGAACAATGTCTCTTTAGTGAATAAATAGATGAAATTACTTGTCATTGAAATGCAAAAATACAAATTAATTATGATGTATAATAACAATAACTAGGTTGGTACAGTATTATTCTAGATGTTCCACATCAGTCAGCAGTTTCCCACAGGATACCAGTTTATTGTTAAATTTAATGAATATCAAAAAAGTAATAATTATATGCACTTTCTTGTGAATATGTTTGTGATCAGGATAGCTGGAAACAATTTTCCCCTTCATGTTACTGAAATTGATACATCACATTGAATAAATTTAAGTTCATTTAAATTTTGAAGCACATGGAACTGGTTTTTTGTCAGTGGAGGCAAGGTGGATACCTTTTGAGTGTATGTTTGAACAAATTTCATATTCATGACCTTATAAAAATTAATTATTTTTGAAAAATATTAAAACTTGCAGTAATTTAAAGAT